AACAGGCAGTGGGGTTAGCTGGTGTGGCAGATGTCAGATGCTTGAGGTAGGTTTGATAGAATTTCCATGGCCTCCCCAGTTTTCTCAGTAAAATATGTATATGGGTATTCAGATAGTAGAGTTGAGGGAGTAGGTAAAGATCTTAAGTGAGATCTTGCTTTCTTGACTGGTTTTAGAACATCTCTGCTTTAGTCCTAGGTTTGAGGGAAAATATGATTCCAAAGAGAAGCATTCTTCTAACCTGGGGTCTCTGGTTAACTGCTCACCCCTCTCTACTCATCTTATGCAAAACAAAAATGTCACACCTAGGGTAGGCTGGAAGCTGAGGGAAACCCACTGCCATCGAGTTGATTCTGACTCACCGCAACCCTCGTTTAGTTTCCGAGGCAGATATATATATATATATATATATATATTTGGTGATTTTGGTGAAAGTTTACAGAGCAAATTCACTTTCCATACAGCAGTTCACATACACTTTGTCTCATGACATTGACTACAATTTACCCCCATGTAACAGCTCCCCTCCCACTTCCTCCTGATAGTTACCTCTTCCCTGTGTCCATCCCTCCATGCACTTCTGCCCCCTGAACTGTCTCCCTGTGCATAAACAGCCCTTTTTTCTCCCATGATTCTTCTCTCCAAGGAGTGTATCTACGTCAGGTAAATGTTCAACTCATATGCCTGTCTTTTGTTTGGCTGGAAGCCACAGATGTGGGTTCAATTCCAGACCTGAAGGGCAGCTAGGGGCCACGTAGTCTCAGTGGTTCCACCAGGCTCTATCAGACCAGCAAACCTGGTTCCCCTCCCTCCGCTCTTTTTTTTTTTTTTTTCCCCAAATGATTTTGAGTTTTGTTCCATGTTGTTCTCCCTCTCTATCCAGGATCTCTTCCATAGATCCCCCTCTGAGTGGTTGACAGTGGTAGCCAGGTACCACTTAGTTCTTCTGGTCTCATAGTTGTGTAGGTTGTGGATTGTGTGGTATACCAGTCCGAAGCAAATCTTTACGGAAGTAGATTGCCTCATCCTCCTTCCACAGAGTGGCTGGTGGGTTTGAACCACCAGCCTTCTGGTTGGCAGTCAAATGCCTTAGGCACTACATCACCAGAGTTCCATTGGGAAGCTGAGAGAAAAGGGGTCTAATTCTTACCACAGTGAATATCCTGCAAGTAAGAGTGGCAGTTCTTGGAGCAGGGGTTTTGGAGGTATTCTTTGGTGATTTTGCTGGCAGAATTTTCTGGCTGTTTTTTTTCCTGGGTAAGGAGCAGGGAAGGGTAGCTGTGGATTAGTGGTTCCTCTGCACCTAAGCCTCCCAGCTTTACTTCAGTCCTGGTCCTTCTCCTTCCCCTACTGATAAGGGATAGACTTTTAGGGAAAAGGTTGAAGGCAGCTAAGTGTTTGCCCACCCAGGAGAAGAATGGATTGGTGTTTGAGGGGCAGCCCCTTTTGGGGGCCCCTACCCTGCCTGAGGTCCCTCCTTCAGAGCTCCCAGCCACTGGTCTGGGACCGGCAGGGCAGTGGCCCCTGTTTAGTGTTGCTGTTTTTATAAGCTAATGAGGGCAGAGTGTGAGCCACAGGCAATGATGCTGGGATATTAACTGTGACAGGAAGCTTGATCATAATTATCTTAACGAGGATAGGGTTAATTACAGTGGAAACTTAAAAGTTCTCTCTGTTTGAATCCGCTGGAGCCGAATACGTTGTGATGTTTTGTCATTTTGATGTGACTTTGGAAATGGCATTGGGACTCTCCTGGCTCCTAAGGAAGCCCAGCCTGAGCCCTATGAATGAGGTAACTGAGATGGTACCTGTGGGTGAGATAATGGGCAGCTTTCCTGCCTGTGGAGCAGGAGGCAGGCAGCCTGCCATGCGCTTCTGAGATACTGATTAGGTTTCCAGAGCAAGACACATGCCATGGCCAGACCACATGCTCTGTCTCCCTGCCCACCCTTGGCATCTCTTGACCAGGTTGGAAGATCTCTTTCCAGGTGGCTGTGCCCAGGGAGTGGGGAAAGCCTTGCTTTCTCCCTCAACCCTCTGACTATGGGGTGACAGAGATGCTTGCCTGCCTTGTCCTTCCAGCCCATACCTCAGACTCTGCAGCCACTGCTATGGAAGCAGGTGAGGGACCCTGAAGGACCAACAGCTAGTCCCACTATGGCTCTCAGCTCTGGGATACATTTGATTTTCAGACACAAGGCCAGAGCAGAGAAATTTCAGTTGTGTCATCTTTTCCTGTAGCTGTCCCATTAAACAGCACATATCTGTGTGGATCCTTAAAGCCTTTTTTGCATCGTCATTTTATTTAATGACACATACGTATTTGCAAGCATCTTGTATATAGAGATATGAAGATTGATACTCCTTCCTGGAAAACAAAAGTAAAAAAAAAAAAAAAAAGAAAGAAAAATTAAGTAATGGAATAAAACAGTCTCCTAGGTTGATGTGTAATGGCCTCCAATGACCAGCCAAGCCCACCAATCCTGTCTTCTCTCTCCAGTCTGCTTTACTGGTTCTTTGCCTCTTGTCCCCAATCCCTCAGCTCTGAATTTAGCTGATGAAATTACCAAGTACCTATCACACTGATGACATGACAACAGGAAATGATTAATTAGCAATGTCCCATGTAACACAGGTCCCTTTTAACAGAGCAACTAATATTATGTGCCGCCACCTCCCCCCCAAAAAAAACCTCTCAAAACCAGACAGATGCTGGGGTTTCAGCCTGATTTGCCCGACTCCTATCTGAAGTCTCACTCCAGCACTGCGCTCTGCCCAGCGACCGCGCTGCCCGCCAGAAAGACTGTCTTGGTGGGCACTCCCTCTAGTGTTCCCAGGCTTTGTCCCTTTTCAAGCAGTGTCATTTTGTTTTATGCCTCCCCTGGAGCACTTTTGGAAGGGAGCTTTCTTCTGCCTGCCAGTTGCCAACCATTTGCTGATTCTCATGATAAGAGTATTATATTTGCATAACATAACTTGGGAACAATGTGTATTTGGATGCTGTCTTTGACCAGAGCCCAACTGATGTTTCAGCACAAAGGACTTATTAGCCGCCCAGAAGGCTCCCTGAGGGGAGGTGGCCTCAACTCCCCTTGTAGTAAACAGTAGCTTGGTCCTGAATAGGATGTTTGGATCATCACTAATTAACCCCTGATGGTAGAAGAAACTTCAAAAACAGGCAGAAAGTTCCCTGCAGAATCCAGATACACTGCACACACCTCTGTGGATTTGTTCATCTGTCACCCCTGGAGCACACCCCCTAGAGCCTCTGGAAAAAACAGTGAATGAAAGGAGGAAGGAAAAGAAAGAAACCAGCATTTTACTAAAATCCTATTGTGTGCAAGACAAGATGCTTGTAACTTGTTAGCCTTATAAGCCGAAAGGACACAGAGCAAGGGAGCTTAGATCAGTTATTGATATGCCCACATTGACAAGGCAAGTAAATGGTGGGGCTGAGATAAAATCCCAGCTTTCTTGCTCTGGGATGCGTAAGTTTTATTTTGCTTCTCTGGACCCCGAGGAAAAAGAGAAAGGAGGAGAAGGAATTAAAATAGGAGAACCCTTGGGGTCTTTACCCACAATGTATACAGTATTATGCTCTTACTATGGGACAAATAGTCTTGGCTGCAGGAGCAGGCATTTCCTGGGTGCTACGTGCCTGGGTGGGCCCATCCTGATGATCTGGCATGAATGGGGCATGCAGGCAGGGCTGTGGGCCCAGTGAAATCTGCGGATTTAATTACATATCCACAACGCATTTTACACCTCTCAAGGGTTGACTCCCTATTTTGGAGTCCTCTTGGCAGAGGTCCCACCAGAGAGATATTGATGCCTTGGGAAAGCTCTGGTGCTAAAGTTCACACTCACAACAGATGTGCAGACATTGCACACGCAAGCACAAGGGTCTTTAATGTAAGCATTATCAGTAAAAGAATAAGTAACTTGCATTACATCCCCCTGATTCCTCACAGCATTTTATAAAATAACCAGGCGCTCCCATGCATGCCCTCCCTCTGGTCCACACTGTAGCTCAGCTGTCAGCCTGTGCAAGCTCAGCACATCTCCTGGGTCTGGCAGGTGAACGAGCTGGGAGTGTGTGTCTCTGTGTAAGTCCCTCGGCCGGCGGCTTGTTTTAATTAATGTCTGCATGTGCTTGTGAAAGCACGTGTGCACACAACTGCCCTCACCTCCTCCACCTCCAGCACTCATGAGAGTCCTTGAAATTAAGAGTTAACTTTCAGCCAAGTGTATAGGCAAGGCCATTCTTCCCTTTCTGATATATTTTTTCCCTGAGCCGGGTACTTAATCGTTTCAGATGCCTATTTATTTACTGACTCAACATTCACAAGACTGTTTGTTCTCTGCACTTCTTTCAAAGTAAAAGTTAGAAACCCACTTCTCATGAATTGAAAATGGTGATTTCAAGTCAGGTGCTCTGAGGGAGAAATTCCCCACCCCACTCTCCCTCCTCAAAACAACAAAAAACAAAAATAAGTAAATAAAAAGAAAGAATGGAAGAAAAAGCAAAAAGCTCTCTCAGACTAGAGTGATTATGCAATTCTGCAGATGCCTTTCCTGTTGAGCTGCCACAGAGACACGGAGCAGAAGCAAATGAAGTGATTAGTAGAGAAAAAAGCAGAGAGGAAAAGTCAGAGGCTGTGAACACAGAGAAAGGGAGCCTTCCCTGCGATTTCCTAGCACTGTGCAGAGGAGAACCGCTAAGAAATGATACTTGAAGTTATATTTATTATTGTAAGAGGGGTATGATATTTCTGGGCAGGAATGATGGATGACAGCTTAAATTTGTGTCCAGGGAATGAAGGTGAACTGTGACAGAGTTATTTATCTTGGGAATGGAGGTTAGGGTCAGCCGAGGCTGGGTGCCTCAAGGCACAAGACATTGACAAATTTATCCTGCAGGCCGTATCTGAAGCCCTTTGTTTTGGATCCTGGCTACTCACTAAGTGACCCTCATCCTTCATGTTGGCAATGCGTGAAGGATGCGGTGAGTGCCAGCGGCCCCTTCTCCCCCGCCGCCCCCGCCCCAGCTCCCCGCTACTAATTCTTGTCATTCACTTTGCTGACAGGCACCAAGCCCAAACTATTCCCAGTCCTGAAAGGGAAGGTTAAAATATTTATTTCGGCTCATAATGGCCTCCCTGATTTAGTGCAGGATCATTTTTCCTGTTGCCTTTGTCATTGCAGGTCACTGGAAGGACTGAGCGCGTTCCAGAGCCTGGAGGAGCTCATCTTGGACAACAATCTGCTCGGGGACGACCTCATGTTGCCAGGGTTACCCAGGCTCCATACCTTAACCCTCAACAAGAACCAAATATCCTTTCCTCTGCCCGCTGCCCCTCACTCCCTGTCCAGCTCTGCAGTTGTCCCCTCCAGAAGCCTCCTCACCCCTCCACAAATACCTGCAAAATGTCAAATGAGTTTTATGTGTCAGCTAAATTAAAGTATGTGAAATACAGTCCGTGGGCAGACAAAGCGTTCTGTCTTCTGGCACTCGGGACACTTCAGAGTAATTTATTATAGGTCATTCATAAATGAAATGCACCATTATATCTTCCTGTTGCTCCATTTTAGTGTAGAGATCTAAGTTATGGCTGTGAAGAAATCTTTTTAATAGATAAAAATAGAGAAAGAAAATAATGTCACTGCTGCCAAGGAGGCAAAGCCCGGGTCTGTTTGCTTGGGCTTGTGTGGGAGGGCGACCTCTGGTGGGATATATGAGGTAATGCCGTGAAGTAAACTTGGCCTTCCTGGAGGGTTCTCAAGGCTCTGGTTTAGGTTTGGGGACAGTTCTAGCATGGGAGATGGGAAAAGCAGCTAAGGTAGAAGAGAAGTGTGAAGCCCAGGCTGGTTTCTGCCCCTCCCTAGTGGACACCATTCTGGGCTAGTGATGGGAGAGGCCTGCATAACCAGTTGTCATCAAATTGATTCTGACTCATGGTAACCCCTGTGTGTCAGAGTAGAACGGTGCTCTGTAGGGCTTTCAATGGCTAATATTCAGAAGTACATCACCAGGTGTTTCTCCTGAGGTGCCTTTAGGGAACTTGAACCTTCAACCTTTCAGTTAGCAGCCCAGCATGTTAACTTAGCACCATCCAAGGAATCTGAGAGAAGCCAAGGAGAGCCAATCGGAGTGAAGGGCTGACACCTCCTCTTAAGCAGATAAGAACCTACCCAGCCAAGGATGGAATATACAGGAGCAACTTGCTCTGGATTCTCTATAGAGAAACTGAGAAAGGGAGACTTTCCTGAGCATCAGGCAGATAGCTCCTTGAATGTTAGAGTTATGGATCACCATGCACTAGAATGTCAAGCTAGACAAGGCAGAGATTTTTGTCTGTTTTGTTCAACACATTATTCTTGGTACCTAGAATGACTGACACATAGCAGAGGTTCAGGAAATACTTGTGGAATGAATGAATCATTATGATTTTCTTTATCGAGCACTCGTGTGGGTCAGTTACTGTACTCGACACTTTGAATATATTCCTTATGATTACCAAATCTTTTGAGACAGATGTGCTTTCTCCATTTACCTAGATAAAGAAAGAGGTGAAGTATAGGCCTGCAGCCAGACAGTTGACAAGATGCTAGGTCCTTGCATCTCCATTGTGATTTCATTCAGAGTTCTTCTCATGCTTCTGTGTGTTTTCAGATTTAAGTCCTGTCCCTTTGTTTTATTGACTAATCATTTGAAACCCGGAGTAGTTAAATCACTTGCTCAGCTTCACATAGTAAGTTAGAAATAAAAAAGAAACCAAGGCTTTTCTCCTTCGTATAAATTAAAGTCATATAAACATGTTAGGACTTAAGAATGATTTGCAAAATCATTTATTAACCACTGTTTGTACTTCAAGCCATAAAGATAGCAATTTATTTAGTCTGTGAAATATACTATTTATGACCTATATTAATGAGCAATTTAATTGACACAGTAAGGAAAGGCCCATAGATTAATATTGCCATCTTTATCATCATGAAACTTTAGTTGAGTTTTTTCCTCTCCTATTCTTTGGTCTCCCAAGTTTCACAGTCACTGAAAAATTATTGTAATCAGTGTGTTTTATGGATTTCTTGGCTATCTTAAGTGATCAATTGGGCATTGTTCTCAAATCAAGAAAAGACAGAAGGATCATTAGACTAGAGTTTGTGTGATATGGTTCCTCCCTTGGGGCCCAATGCTCTGTCCAAAGACCTATGTTGCTGTAGATATTAAAGCCCAGACACTTGATTTCCTGGGTCAGCTTGACCATATGTATGTAGCTTGTGTGGCCTTGGACAAGTCACCTTCTATGAGCCTCTATTTCTTATTTTTAAAGGAATGAGTTGGACTGGATGATGATTTTATTCTTTTAAAAGCTCTGAGAGATTATCTTTATCTTTGGTCAAGTCCTTTCCTTGCTTTGTACCTCAACTTCCCCAATCTGTAGCAGCAATGCTGAGGGAGTGATGATAATGCTATGGACAAAGTGTAGCTCTAAAGCTGGCCAAACCTAGAAAAAGCATGGGAGGACACCATACATGGTTTGGATATAAAGAGGCATGCTCCACTAGGACCATTTCTGTAAAAATCTATGACATAGGCCTTGATATCCTGTCAAGAATATAACTTCATATTTGTAATAAAGGAAGACCTAGAATAAAGCAACCATTGACCTAAAAAGTTGAATATTAGCTCTTTCTTATAAATTGAATTTTATTTTAAACACATTAGGAAGCTTACCACCAAATGGCGTTCTGTCTCAAATTCTTTTTGAAGTTTTTGTTTTTATTATTTTAATTATTTATTTAGGCATGTATAGAATGATTATTCATCCTCTAATTTACTTGCCTTATAAATCTGGAAATTTTCCACTTTGGTTTTCATTTCAGCTAACTATGGTTATAAAAGTGCTTCATGTTACCAGGCCCTGAGAACAGGGATGAGACTTGGGTTATTGGTTATTTTTATCTTTTAGCAAGAGGTGGTATCACATAGTGTTTAAGATCACAGGCTCTGAAATCAGACTTCCTGGACTTGCAATGTCCATCTACTACGTATTGTATGACCTTGGGTAAGTTACTTAACATATAGATGCTTTGATTTTCTCTGCAATATGGAGACAGTAGTAGTACCAATTTCATAGATTGTTGTCAGGGTTATTCTAAGTGTCTCACAAATATTAAGTTCTAGTAACACAGTATGTGCTAAGTAAGGGTTAATATTGCTATTATTATTATTATCATTACTTTGAAAATTATGTGAGTTTAACTCAGATATCTAACTTGAGCCATATTATAACCCCGGCAAAGGTATAGCAAGGTTCAGAGTGCTGCTTTGACTTTTAAAATTCATTATTACCCTACTACCACCCTGGGAGTATATGAACTTTCTTAAGTCACATAGGTTGCAGTGGTGGTTTTCAACCTAGAACCCAAGTATGCTGATTTCCAGCCCCAGACTCTGAAACCCAAGGTCAGAGAGATCACTCCACAGGAAAAGGAACTGAAATTCTCCCTTGCCTATCCCCCCTCCCCTCTATAAGGTAAGACTCCCAGCTGAGGTTGCAGAGAGTCTGCTCATGAAAGGGATTCCAGAGCCAAGACCCAGCATCTGGCAAATTTCTTCTGAATTCACCCATGCCCTGCTTTTCATCTGCGTACCTCCTGTTTGACCTCCTATCTTTGTTCTGCTAGCCCTTTGTTCCACTTCTTTTTCGGCCCTCCACTTTGGTGTCCTGTCCTGGTATTTCTTAAAGGTTGGCCTCAGGTTACCTGCTCATCTCGTGGCTTATAGTTTACCTTACTGTCCTTCCTCTGGCTCTTTCAGACTGGCCAGATAGTCACTGGACATGGACTGGCCATGGACTTGACCCTCCTCCCCCAACTCTCATTCTTTCTCTGTCTCTGTTTCTCTTCACTCATGTGACCATGCACATGCTATCCTTGGCTTCTCTCCAATACGGATGGGGTTTTGGTCATGGTCTTTGCCATATCATATCTAAATAGTCAACTCCAAGTGAGGGACCAACTGAGAATTCAGGAAAACGTAGATATTTAACTTTTACACAGTCTAACAATTTTTCCCTTACTCTCCCCTTGGGGAGATAAATTTCAAACTGATTCATTTGAAACTGCATTTAGTTTTCTGTCTCCCTGTTTGCCTTAGCATATGTACTGAAAAAATAATGAATTTGAATTATAGCACCAACAGGAAGAAAGAGTAGCTTTTTATGTTACACAGCTGGACTGTGTTAAGGAGACCACTGGGCTGAGTCAGAAGAATGGGTTAGAGTTCCATCAGCAATTTACTGTGTCATCTTGGGGAAATTTCTGTACTTTGTCAAGGTCCTCAGTTTGCCCATCTATAAAATGGGTAATATAACAATACACTTCAGAGTGTTGTTGAACGATTTAAATAGTTTAATAGATGGAAAATCGCTTGGCAAACAGCCAAAGACTTTACACATTCTTGGTAATTTTATTGTTAGCCAAAGCCTCAGTGCTTTAAAAGAATTAAGCCTGAATTGGTAAAAGCTGAAATACAGAGTACTGCTTACATGACAGCACCATTTGGTTGCTCACAAAAGCACTTAAAACTCCTTATTTTTCAGTATTTAAGCTCCCCTTTCATGTTCGGGAATTATAGTCACTTTCCCTCCAGACAGAGAATTTCTTTAGGACTTACGTTAGAATCGGACCTTCAAACCAGTTCTAACCAGTTCAGTCATGGCTGATGAAGCAAATTTGGAACAGACCCCAATTTTAAAAATTTAAATGAAGCACAATGATAATCCAAGTGGGAAACATTATAAGTCAAAGCCCTGAAATGGGAGACTTGGAAGAGATGTGGTAAGCCCTTTCAGGAGCCTGATGCAGGGGAAGTGGGATTATTGGCAGGGCTATGGAGAGTGACACACATTCAAAGTGGTACCGTTGGCAATCTTTGAGACTGGCACCATTGTTTCTGACTGTGCTAATCAGGAAATTTGGTTGCTCTGCAGTGCATACACTAACAGGACATCAACCTGTAATTTTTCCCATTCCAATTGTCATTCTGGTTTGCTCACATTTTACAAATTCAAGTCGCTTCTGGTTTTACTTCATCAGCCATGCCTGAACTGAGAACTGGTTTAAAGGCCTGGTCTAGATTCTTCTAATTACTAGCTTTGTGACCTGGACCATATCATTTAGCCTCAGTATCTTTTACTGCTATTTGGATATAATAATACTCCTGATATTCTTTTTTTGTGTGTGTGAATCAAAATGAGAGAATATATCATATACATTGTGTATTTAGCACACAAAAATCCTATTACTAGGATAAGCTCTGGT